GTGGTCAGGCTCGGTGTGGCTCTGCTTGCCCAGGGGCACAACACTGAGCCGCTTGCTGAGGGCGGCTGGAGCCTTGTTTAGGCAAAGCCTCGTCAGCATCTAATTAAAAAAAAAAGAAAAAAAGGCATCCTTACTAGTCCATTACTGTGCACGTAGGTTAATCCTGCGCTGTAGGCAGGTGCGTCAGTCCGGCTGTGATGAAAGAGCTCCAGCTTTTAGCGTGTTGCCAAACCTGACGGCTCCAGCTGTCACCACACTTGTCAGCCACTGAGTTCTGGGAGGAGTGGCTCTTAAAAGAGGTACAGGTCCAAAAAGCTACTAAAAGAAAAAAAAAAGTTAAAAATCAACCCCTTCTCTCCCCCCAGCAGCCAGCCCAGGCCAGCCGCTTTGCTTGGGCTTGTGCAACGTGGTCTTTGCTCTTGCTGACCTCTTGAACAAATCCAAAGGCAGCACTGTGACACTGGTTTGGCGTTAAAAAGCCACAAAATAGCACAAAATGCTGCGAGGTCGCTGATGTAGGATTTGAAGGTGTATTTTTCAAGAAGAAACCCCAGAGAAGCTGCATGATGCCTCCTCTGCTGCCTGCCCCGCTGACCCCCAACCCCTCGCGTTCGAAGCCCTGTCGCAGTTTCCTGGGGCTGGGTTGGGCTCAAAACCCCCCCCCAGAGGCTTCTCACCCCCCACCCTCCTCCGTGCTGCTGCCGCCTCGCCAGGAATGTGTCACCCTCGGAGTGGTTTCCTCCTCGTCTGCCCCTTCCCACCCTGTCCTGGCTCACCAACAGGCTCACCTGGAGCTGGTGGGTTTTCAGTTGTTGGGTTGTGTTTGTTTGGTTGGTTTTTTTTCTTTATTTTTCCCACATCTTCATTTGAAATGGTGACATCAGAGCCGTGACAGCCAACGCCTCTGTGTCCAGCCCCATCTGCACCGGTGGCACTGGGTAGGGGAGTCCCTCCCTGTTGCCATCCCTTGGGAGGGCCATTAAGCTGCAAAGTCTGCGTTAATCTGCAGAAAAATGATGTAGGCAAACGAGGCAGCCATTACATGGCAACACCCTCTGTGTGATGCCAGCTGGATCTGCCTGGTGGTGGGAAACAAAACGCTGAGGACGCAGAAATTTAAATGCAGAAAAATATCCACACCCCCACCCCCAATCCCTTACTTATCCTCCAGGTAGGCTTCGAGTTACTACCGCTCAAAGTGCTCCTCTTAGAGCTGAGAGGTTTGACAAATTAGCACACTGCTGATCTTTATCCTAGTCCCTGTCAGACGCGTGAGACATCAAGTGTTGGTGCACAAAGCAAGCCGCCCGCTGCAGTGATCCTGTCACCACTGCACGGCCCGTACGGGTCAGACACCCCGGGGCTGGAGCTGGAACCATTTTTCTCTCTTTTTTTTTTTTTTCCCCCCCCAGGCTTTGTACAAACTGTACAGCGCAGCTGCCACTCACAGACATTTGTACCACCACGCCTTCCCCGCACAGAAAGCGGAACCCGCCGAGGGCTCAGATAGGAAGACGGTGTGAGCCGGGCGCGCGCCCGGCGATGCATGAAGGAGGCGCAGCCCCCTCCTCCTCGGTCCCTCATCCTCGTACCCATCACAAGCTCCTGCCGTGGAACAGGGAGAGCAGAGAACAAGCGACGTGTCCGGTGGTTCGGTGTGTTCGTTCAAGCACGGTGTTTGACGGGAAGATGGCAGCATGTGTTTTTTTTGTTGTTTTCTTTTTTTTTGTTAATATGTACATATTGGTGCTGCCGCCATGACAAAGTGCTTTTAATTTGTAACAGCCAGCCTACTTCCCAGCTAATTTATGAAGCCTTATTTTACCTTTCTTAATTAGTTACGAAGTCACTGAAGAAATCATCATTTACATCATACAGCAACTAAAAATCTCCCAGACCTTAGCTTCTTCAAAAGCCAACTTCTTTTCAGATACTTGAACAAGTTATAACATGTAACCGAGTCTTTTCTTCAATTAACCATTTAATTACCTAATTAAAAATGTATTAACTTGCTTTATCAGAAACTGTAAGGGCACTTCTGCTATGGTATGTTAACGATCTCGTAAGGACAGCCTACTTTTCTGTTCGTAACCGATGCACAAAGTATCACTTTGTATATGTATTGGAGAAAGTTTCACTGTATTTCTGTACATATATTCATTATAGTGCATAGAAAGTGTGTTCAACAGTTCTATTCTTTTATCGTCAGAACTATTAAAGTTTGCTTTCGGTTCCTAAGAAGTTGGTCCTACAGGAGGCAATTATTGACTAACAAGGTGAGAGCTTCTCCTCTTTGTTTTGTTTTGTTTTTTTTTTACATTCTCGGTTTCCTTTTGGCCTTCAGAATTGTTGTTTGATATTCTGAAAATACTCTGGGCTGTCTCACACCCAGTTGTGACCTTCTGTCACCCAGAAGGTAAAGTTGGTTTTGGAAGTCTTAGGCAAAAGTCTCCAGCTTTTCACAGTGGAGGAAAAGCTTCTTCAGTGAAGAAAGGGGCTGTGCTGGGGCCCCCTTGCAGGGGACAGCACCCGGCAGAATCCCCCCACCTTGTGCTGCCTGGGAGAACAGACACTTTCACCGTGCAGAGATGGACACTTGGGGCTCAGCTGTGACTGCCCGGGGCAGGCGGTGGCACCCTGGCAGAGAACAGAGCCAGCCCCAACAGCAGCTTTGTCCTCCCCGTGCCATGGGCCCTGCTGGCTGTTCATGGCATGGTTTGGGTTGGCAGGGACCTTAAAGCCCATCCAGTCCCACCCCCTGCCCCGGGCAGGGCCACCTTCCCCCAGCCCAGGTTGCCCAAAGCCCCGTCCAACCTGGCCTTGAACCCTTCCAGGGAGGGGGCAGCCACAGCTGCTCTGGGCAGCCTGTGCCAGGGCCTCACCCCCGGCACAGGGAGGAATTTCTTCCTTACATCTCATCTAAATCTCCCCTCTGTCAGTTTAAAACCGCCACCCCTCATCCTATCCCTCCCCCTGATCCAGAGTCCCTGCCCCCTTTCCCGCAGCCCCTTTCAGCCCTGGGGGGCCGCTCTAAGGTCTCCCCGGAGCCTTCTCTCCTCCAGCTGAACCCCCCAACTCTCTCAGCCTGTCCTCACAGGGGGGGGTCCACCCCCCCCAGCATCTCCGTGCCCTCCTCTGGCCCCGCTCGACAGGTCCGTGTCCTTCTGCTGTTGGTGCCCCAGAGCCGGACCCAGCCCTGCAGGGGGGTCTCCCAGAGCGGAGCAGAGGGGGAGAATCCCCCCCTGGCCCTGTGCCCACCCTGCTCTGGGTGCAGCCCAGCACACCGTTGCCTTTCTGGGCTGCCAGCGCACGGTGCTGGCTCACAGGCAGTTTCCACCATCCAACCCCCCAAGTCCTTCTCCTGGGGGCTGCTCTCCAGCCCCTCCTTGCCCAGCCTGGGTCTGTGCTGGGGATTGCCCCGACCCTCGGGCAGGACCGTGCCCTTGGCCTTGTTGAACTCCACGAGGTTTGCAGGTCCCCCCTCTCCAGCCCGTCCAGGTCCCTCGGGATGGCGCATCCCTGCCCTCTGCGTGTCCCCGCACACACAGCTTGGTGTTGGCAGGGAACTTGCTGAGGTGCCTCCATCCCACTGTCCCTGTCACCAAAAGATGTTAACCAGCACTGGTCCCAGCACCGACCCCTGAGGACGCAGCTCGTCACCGCTCTCCACTGGGACATCGAGCCATTAACCACAACTCTGAGTGTGACCATCCAGCCAGTTCCTTATCCACCGAGTGGATTTTATTTGACATTCTAAAAGACAAAAAAAAATCAGTTGGACAACGCTTCATTCATTAAACAAAATTATTTTTATTGAATTAATAGGATTTACAAGAAACGTGGTGGGGGGGTTTTGTCGGCAACAATGCTTATTGCACTAAAAAGAATCCATAAATAACACTTCAGGACAATCAATGAACCAAATGAAAATATTGGAAAGGGTAACTGTACAACTAAAAATTTCCCCCAAGTAAGGAAGCTTTACTACAAGACAAAAGCTTGTTTAAAAAGAAGTAATTGTTGTTACATCCCTGATTTTTTTCCATGGCGTGGTAGAGCTGGTTGGACAACACTGTTACCTTCCCATGGGGCTGGGTCACATTTTATGAAATGCAGTTTACTCAGGATTTAAACACCTGTGAACAGTTTGCTTAGAGATCTCGGTCTTTAAGAAAGTACGGGGTATTTCCCCTCTGACTAACTTCTGTGAAAATTAGTAGTAAACCTAAAGTAGCAATGCGTTAAAGTAAAAAATAAGGCAACTCAGGCTTCACCTCCAAGAAACAACTTGGTTTCGGTGGGTGGACTCTGCTCCTGTCCGGGTGTTACAGAACAGCAGCAGTGTCGGTGTTCTGTACGTTAAAGCTGTAAACAAAGAGCAGGCCTCTCTCAGGAGAGGAGTGCCAAGTCCCGAGGGAAACGCAGGGAAATAAGTCATTTGGGTTTTAACAATGGTTTGAATCCAGGACACTTCATATAGTTGCATCTCTTGTCCTTTAAAAAATATATTGTCAGCTTAATAATGCAGTTGACTGCTAGAAAAAGATACCAGAATCGAGTCTCTGATTAAACTCTGCGCTGGTTTTCAGAATCATAAACTAGTTCTTGCATGGAAAAAGGTTAACCAACATTTTTCATTTTTTTTTATAAACAATACATAAACACAGGTAGAAAAATATTCAAGAGGATAATAACAAAGGTGCAATGTCAACAAAAATAAGCTGCCTTTTCAACAAAAGCACTTTTTCATAGTTTTAAGTGTGAAAACCTTTTAAAGCTCTTAAGTGTCCTCATGAAAGTCTGTTCAAAACGAGTTGGTAGCTTAAAAATTCTTGCCGTGCTGCTGGGCATACCACTGCTGCCTCTGCTTGCGATGCTCCAGCTCGGTGAGGAGGGCCTGCCTGTACGCTTCGTACAGCTTCACGATCCGTTCCAGTTCCTTCATGAAGAGCAGCTTCAGCATCCCCTGGTAGGTGTCCAGGTCCGCCAGCTGGAAGAGCTCCCACTTCAGGATGTGATCGTACCTGGGGTGAGAGAAGAGCCCGTTACCCACGCACCAATGTTGATTTCTAGAAATCTCCCCTGGTATCTTTCAGGGGAAGAAATAAGGTGATTAACGCCAAAAGACAGGGAGTGGCGTCTCAAAGAGAGCTGGAGAAACATCACTTACAGCTCAGCTGCAGAATTGCTCCTGATACGCCATGATAAACTTGAGAAAAACTAAAGAAATAAACCAACGGAGAGAAGGCTTTTTGGAAGCGTTAAAACAGCGATTCCATTCACAACGAGCCTTGAAGATTTAGTATCTTCATCTTTTAAAATTTAGAGTAACACACACACAAACATAATTATTTCAACAGCGGACCCCAACTCTCCCCAGCAGGTACCCCCCAGAAGGCAGAACGCTGCCCACCTTCACTCACAACACACTTATTTCCAGAACGTTCTTGTCCCAGCCTTAACAAGCACTCTTGGCCACTTCCCCCCTCGTGGTTAATTAGCAGCAATAATTTAAGTCAGTGTGTCTCAAACTGTGGGTCATGAGCCCCACAGGACTGCGAAAGGGGGGTATTGGCATCGGTGAGGACTGAGGGAGTGAGGAAATCCAATCAGGCCATAATTAACAGCTGCAAGTACTCACACCAGCAGCCATCTCTCTGCCCCGCTGAGAGCGGGGTGGGTGTCAAGGGAGCCATGAAACCACTGACAGCTAAAAATCCTCCACATTCTGACTCCCCACACTGGAAAAAATAACCCTGGGAGGTCCCCTGAAGACATGCACCAAGAGCCTGAGGCTCACTGGTGCCACCCCAAACGCCTCCCTTTAGGAATATCTGACCCAGCTCCCTGCATGAGACTGAAACAAGCCCAGCAGCGAGGCCAACCAGTTACTGCTATATTTTTTCCCACTTCCCCCAGTTACAAGCTGCTGTTGGTTGAGCAAGGGGAAAACGCAGCAGGCTGGGTCATCGAAGTGCCACCCCCACTGTCAACACTTTTTCCTGGAGGAGGGAAATGACACCAGGCAGCGGTGCAGCACGCGAGCGCTCACCAAGAAAGTGCCAGCAGGGGTAAGGAGGGGGGCCACACGTTAAAACAAACCCCAAAGAAGAGCAGAAACACAACACGAGGCCATAAACACGTCCAAGGAAAGTGTCACTAGCCACTACGGACGCTCTGGGGTGCCAGAGCTGCTGGCAAAGCGTATCTGGCCTTGCTTTCTGCAGGTTTTCTCCTCTCCTGTCAACAGGCAGCACTGTTTTTCTTAGAAAAGCTGCAGCACTGTCAGTCCTGGGTTTTTTTATTTTTACTTTTTAATAGGGAACGATTCTAAATTTCTCTTTATACCCCTAACGCTTTTTTTTCAGTTTCTGAAACATAAACACGCCCCCGAGTCCAAACTTGTGGGGGTATCAAAGCCGCTCCCACTAGATAGGTACAAAACATCAGAGGAGTCTCTTCAGGCCTCCCTTGTCTCACAGCAGAGCTGAAGAAGTTTCCTGAAGGCTCCATTTTGGGTCCGAACTGCCAAACCACTCTTGTGACTAATCACAACTATGCCTTTTCTCCTGCAAGTAATTTTCCACAATTCAAACTGGCACTTGAAGCTCTGCAAGGGAGGCAGAGAGCTGATCAAACCAAGTCCAGTCTCATAATGGAGGTTTGTTCCATCATAACATTAATCAGTGACTCACTTTTGTGCCACAAATTCTCCAAAGCTGATGATCTTTTATACCAAACACATGGTTCAACATTTCCCAAATTTAACCTCTATAATATTTACACAGAAGCTATCCAAGCCATTCAAGAAGGCATTTTTCTTCATTACTTCTTTTTAATGGCCCTCTTTTTGTGCCAGTAGTAGAGGAAGGTTTCCAAGATCCTGGGAGAAAAACAATATTTCTAACACAGTTTTTCAACCAAACCGTGGTTAATTCTACAGAGACAGGATTAAAGGTCTGTGGCTCATGGCCAGTCTTACCACCATAGCCCTTGGGGAAGGACTGCAGGATTGTCTTAAGCAGAAGATGCTGGCATTCAGCATGTTCCTCAAGGAGTTGGTAACTGAAATAATTCTGAAAAAAACCAAGATCCTGGGCCAACAGCAAGACAACTGTTTTGGTGAGCAACTTAGGGTACTTTGGTTCAGGCTCCAAAGCCCATGTGGCTGAACAATTACTGACTGGGATCTGGCTCACAACAGCCAGAAACATTCAGGTTGGAAAAGCCCCTTGGGATCA